ATATGATTCTCTTTTAATCTATAATGCAGTTTTCTTTTGGAGTAATACCAAATGTTAGGGCCAAGGGCAAAGCAGCTACACGTGTTGCTGACATTTTAAATAGGATGCAAGCTGAAGAGCCTGTTAGCAGATCAGATGTAATTTTTCGTCAATACAGGAGTACAGAAATCTTTTTATTTCTTATTTCAGTGTTTCACATACAAATAACTGAATCTTGTCCACTGCAGGTCGGCATTCCAGAAATAAACACTCTTGTACTTCTGGATAGAGAGGTATACTTCCATTCAGTTAATTTATTTTTCCATTTTATGTACCAATCTTCCCCACTCTTCGTAATTATGGCACTATTACATGTTAAGTTGATACTTTAGGTTGGATAGAATTCCTTGATACCTTAGGAAAATGTTTGTTGTTAATGACAAAGCTTTAGCCTTATGAGAAGAAGAGCTGCATTCCAAGTTAATAGGAAGACAAAAGGCTGCATTTATGTAGGCCACATGGTTTCTTTGGTAGTTCGTGACCAACTTGAAAGCTTTCTGCTGAAATTGTGAAATGTGATTTAAATGAATCTCTTTCCATCTTTTTTGTGTCCATTACAATGTAACTTCCAAGTGAAGCCTAATATTTATTAAATCGTTCAATTTAAGTAGGCTTCCTTTGATTGCTGCCTGAAATCTGTACGAAGTCTATAATAATGTTTGGGTTTGTTGTTTTCTTTTTTCTGGCTATTGTTGAATCTGAAAGTTTACATACTCCAGATGTAATAAATCTTCACTTGTCACCTTATTACAGTAGTGCCTTTACTTGCATATATCCATATCTCTGTCACTGTGATTTTAGGTCTGTTATTTCCGTGTGGCAGGTCGATATGGTCACTCCAATGTGTACCCAATTAACATATGAGGGATTGCTAGACGAGGTAAAACTACAATTGAAGGCAAATTTGATACTGCTCACTGTATGCAAAATCTTGAACTACTATAACCTGAGTCTGTGAGTAGGCATTTTCTGATGTCGTGCATTCTGTGTGAAATTTTAACGGTTCTTGCATCAGTAGCTACCTTTTTGAGCACTATGCTTTTTTCAGTTCTATATCCGGAGGCTATTCAGAAATATATAAAATTGCCAGTCACTTGTGAGATCATTTTACTAGACAATATCTGTATTAATTTTGTTGATCAAAATGACAGTATTCATAAGCTTTTAACAGAATGAAGAATGTGTTGCACCACCAATTGATAGCGTCGTAATACCTTGGTTCTGTGTGTTCTTTTCTGGATTTTTTTTATAAAGTATGTCTAATAGGTTCGATGCAGTTTCTTGGTGTCAATAATGGAGTTGTGGAACTTGATGGATCCATCATGGGAGTTCAACAAGAAGGGAAGAAGATGAAGATTCCACTTAATTCAAGGTAGGCGCAATAACATTGTTTCCTTTGAAGAATTTTAAGTAGATTTTGAGGAGAGCATTTTAAATACATCTTCAGGGCAGTGGGTTGCTTTAAATTGCTAAGCACACTTCAACATTAACTTTGGATATCTACGGCTTTGTTCTTTGCCTTTCATCTTTAAGGTTTTCATTGACTATGTGATTGACTTTTGCTTGATCATCCACTACTTTATCCATATTTTTGTCCCTGGCGCTTAGAATATGTATGTGTCCATACCTGAAGTGACTTGATTCATACATTTTATGATAACCAACTGTTCTTGTTTTCTTTATTGTAGTGACAAATTATTCAAGGAGACACGAGATCTAAATTTTGAAGTTGTTGTCCAGGTTGATCTATTTGTGATTTAGTGTAGATAAATTACTTTGTCATGTTTGTTGCTTCTAGATGTCTTAGTTTTGGTATTCTCTTGCGATTATCCTTGAGGATCTGTTTCTTTAATTGTTTTTTGCAGTATATTTCAGGTTCTTCGTCAAAAAGCGACATCCATGAAGCAAGACTACACAGAAATTTCCACTACCGTAAGTTGTAAATGATTATGCCTTTGAGCTTGTCACTTTTCGAATATTTCACCCACTTTTGCTGCAAGGTTATGGAGTAATAACAAAAATTGAAGTTAACTTTTACGTTAATGGATACTGTTATTCTACATTGAACTGAAGATCCATGAGGTTCACCATTTCTCTTGACTTGCTATATCAATCTAAGGTTCTTTTGGACACTTCTCTGTCATTACACTTCATGAAATGGCCAAGTGTTATGACAGAAAAGTGTGGCATTCATGTGTGGACACTGGACAGAGCATAATTGCATGTCAATGAAAATGAAAAATTTAGAAACCTTAATTCGGTCAACTTACTTGAATAATTCATGTTCCTTTTAGTTCTATTGTAATAAAAAACCTTTGCACATCCAATAAATTCTACCCCATTGCGTTCTGATTCTGCTTTCTATAAACAGACTCAGACAGTCTCTGACTTGAAGGACTTCGTGAAGAAGCTTAATTCATTGCCGGAGATGACTGTAAGTATTCTTCTAAATGTCATGCCTGTTTTGGAAAGTTATTATGTGTATTATTGAAACTAAACACATGTGATTGTCAATCCAGCGGCACATAAATCTTGCTCAACATTTGTCAACACTAACGTCAAAACCATCCTTTCCTGCGAGACTTGATATGGAACAAACACTACTGGAAGCCCAGAGCTATGAAATGTAATGCAATGACCTTGTACATTTCCTATGAATTCTTTTGTTCATTACTGAGATCTTTAGGTGCAAGTCTTCTTGAATTTATATTGTTTTACTGACTAATATATCGGATTTGTGAATTTAAACCTATAAGGATATATGTTCGCTCAAGAATGAAATTAAGTCCCTCACTTTCAATAAATTGTCCTATTTGCTGCTTGTTCTTGTTATCCATTATAACCTTGTGGGATTCCAATCTACCTGTTCTGTTCTCACTTCTCACATGTTCGTTATTGTTTATTGTGGTTGATCCTAGAGTACGTTGATGTTTATGGTTCTTCAGAATTTGTGAATTACACTGCTATTACTCAACATTCTTATGTTAGAATCAAGACCAAATTCATTAATCCGCCACTGATTTTACATAGGTTACGTAATATGTATACTTATGGGCCATCTTCAATGGCATTTAGAATTTAGACCATAAGTACCTTGTGCTACGTGCAATCACTCTTGATTGCATTGGTACTATGTTAGTGCTCTTATGTGACTAAAACAGAAAGATGCTGTCCATGAATGCAGATGCTTTGATTATATTGAAGAAATGATCCATAAGCAGGAGCCTCTTGTTCTTGTCCTACGGCTACTAATCTTATTTTCCATAACAAACTCAGGGTTGCCGAAAAGGAATTTTGATTATTTGAGGCAAGTGAAATTCGTGATATATCTCATGTACTTTTTTCTTTTAAATCAAATTAATATAAAAAAGGTCGTGAAAGAGCTTTGAAGTCTCTTATGTTTTTCAATTTTCAACTTTTTTCTTGTTCAGGAGAGAGCTTCTTCACAGCTATGGTTTCGAGCATATTGCTACACTTGATAACTTGGAAAAAGCTGGACTTTTTAGGAAGCAGGTTAAACCTAATTTATATTATATTACGTATATATTCTTTTTGGTTTTGCCTATCCACCTACCCTAACCTTTGCAGGACTCCAAAAGCAACTGGCTGACCATCAAACGTGCTTTGCAACTGTTAGTTGAGGATACCGACACAGCTAAGTATGTTTAGTTTGATGGTAATTCTAGTGTCTTGTTCGTTTTTATGCTCCAAAACATGTGAAGAAATGAAGTGGAGCTGGGGTTAGCAACTTTTGAACAATGTTCCAGGTCCTCTATTAGGGGTCATGGTCTTTGTTGATATTTTTTTAAGTCACTTTGATATGTTGCTCACTTTAGAAAAGTTAACTTTTCAATATTTGCATCCTTGAATTTCATCATTAAGAAAAAGGCCAGGTCTTATGGTGAAGATCTTATGATCATTCTTTTGTTTGAGGGAGCTTTTCTTTTGTTCCCCCAGAGAAGTGATGGCTCAACTTTGTTCTGCATTTGATGAATTTTAATGGGCTAAAGCCTCATTACTGCCATCTTGGTCTTATTTCATCATAATACTAATTATCTGAAGATAACTTATCATTATCAATTCCGGCATGCCTTCTTTTTGTGTTTTTTTTTCAACTGGCTCTTTCTTATGTTATTGTGCGTTCCATTCTACCAGTCCAAAGGATATTTCCTATGTCTTCTCTGGATATGCACCTCTCAGTGTTCGACTAGTTCAGCAGGCAATACGATCAGGATGGTGAGAGCTTTCCTTTCTGATTGTCCTATTATTGTACATTATTTTTGTAAGACTGAGCCAAATAATATCAGTTCTTGCTATTAATGGGAGCTACGAACATGATTTGTTTGGTCTTAAATTAAAATTAGTTTTTCTCTTTTATATGTTGGGAAAATATGGAAACCATGTTTCAGGGTTTTTGCTTATTCTAAACTGCTATTAAGGAGTTTTGTATCTAGTTTATTAGTAAAAGAAAGGGAAAATTAATGAATGGCCAGGTAATTGTTCTAATACTCGAGTAGAACAAATCGTATTCTGTTTTTTTGGTTAAACCGATTTCTCATATTTCAATCAAAATATATCATGCAGGCGCCCTGTTGAAGAAATACTGAGGCTGCTGCCTGGGCCCCACTCGGAAATCAAGAGAGTAAGGATCTTTTTATATGTCCCCACATTTTGTCATATTAACCTCAGAGCTAGTGACTTAACAGTGGCGAGACTCTTTGTATCTTTTCCAGGGTGGATTTTCTAGCATCCCATCTTATGACACTCTGCCGGGATCTCTAAACAGTTTGGAAAAGTATTATTTTATTCCTCAACTTTTTTATTTTTATTTGTTCTGATGAAAATTTCTGATCCCCTTCAAGCTTTTACATTTCCCCTCGTACCTTAGTTAGNGCTTATAATAATGACTTTTTCCGTACCCTTAATACAAATTTGCAATTTTCAGACATTCTATGATTTCGATAAAGTCTGTTAAGAATTTTGATATAATCTCCCAACTAATGAAGTGGATTTGCTAGAATCTAGAGCTCGAACCCCTCAAATGATATTCTTGATTTTGCTAATTATAGTATTTAAAGAAAACTGCTAGGTGCCTAGTCTCATGGTGAACGGGATAAATGGATGTCAGGCACTTTTGATTTAATTATACGTTTTCTGATCATTCCAGACATGCGGATGGAAGGCGTGCATTGGTCCTTGTAATTTTTATTGGAGGAGTTACATTTGCTGAGATCTCTGCTCTCCGTTTTCTCAGTTCTCAGGTACAACTTTTGCAATCCATTATTACATACTGTGGACGTTTGATCTATTTTGTTGTTGATCTCAATTAATCGTATTCTGAATGCTATTGAGACTACCAAGGGTTTTAGGAAACTCATTAGTGATTGCAAAAACATTAGAAGACAAAAGAATTTTTCTGTTAGTTGAAGAAAAATCACTTTTCTTCTTAGCGGGGTGTATTCATTTGGGGGATTTCGAGTGACATTTTGAGACTTTGAGATTTGAGACATTTTAAGTTTTATTTTGGAGACTTTTTGAGATTTGAGATATTTTAAGATTTTCAGATTTAAGAGGAATCTTGTAAAATCATAAGTTTGGAGGTGGGATTTGGAGTGAGATTTCGCATATGATTTTTTCTTTTGAAATCCCAGCAAATCTTAAAAAAAAAAACATAACAAATCATTATCTGAAATAAGTTAAATACCTCAAGATTTTGTAAGACTTTTTAAAATCTCAAATGAATACCTCCAAACCTTTAGAAGTCTTAAAAAATCTTAAATTAAATTATCAGCTTTTGCTTTCACTTATTTAGTCAAATCGTATACATGTGCCTTTCGGTGTACTTTTTTGGTAAATTATGAAGAAGTTAGGTTTTTGGATTCTTATCCTTAAATTTGAACACTATCTGAGACTCTTTCAAGTTTTTAAGTCCTTTCTCAATATTTATTGTCTTGTGATTGTGAACTCACATTCATCTAAAACCGTTTATCTGCAGGAAGGAATGGCATACGAATTGATCATTGGAACAACAAAAATTGTAAATGGGCAGAGCTTGATCGAAACCTTTGTAGACAGGTTGGGTTGACTTTGTGCAGTTCTTGTTTCGGCAGCTATCGTTTTTTAGTACTGTTTGATGATGTTGAGGTTCTTCTGTTGGTATGCAAGTTCTTTGTCTTTTAAGTGAACTTTAAGTGCACGTGTGATACATGATTAATACTATTTTGTGATTTAAAATTATGTATTTATATGGTTTATTCAATTTTTCGGATTATTATTCTTAATGAAAGAATGAAGTACGTTACATCCTAAATTGTGTTAAATATATTTAAAAATTGAACCATAGATAATAGATTTCAAATAATGATCCTATTTGAAAGTAATGATAGAGAGGAGTATCCATTAACTAATCAAAATAGAGCACAACATACATGAAAATGAAAGATTACACAAAAACTACTCATTAACTAATTGTAAAAATTTGCCTAAAGCATGTGTTTGGTATTCGCAAAAATAAAATAAAATAAAAAATAAATAAAAATGCATTTGGCCAGAATATTTGTGATTTGGTAGTTAGTAATTTTACTAACTTGTTTCATATAATTGCAAAATTTAGCGGGCAAAACTAACACGTGTCCTTAATTATTGGTTTTTTTTTGTTCTTTATTTTATTGAATACTTCAACATATATTTTGTTTGATGTCTCAATAGCGTCTCTGATACCAATTCTTGGGTTCTATGAAGAACGTTGATTGATGTACACTTCGAATCCTAACACTCCCTAATTAGAGTAGAGGCAGTGAAATGAAAATCACATCAACTTACAACGACAAATATGCTCTGCACAACAAAAAAAATCGATATAAAAGTCCCTAAAAGAAGCCAGAGCCGGAGAATCATCTGCTTCATCTTTGAGCTCAGAAATCTGAAGTAGTTTAAAGTCTCTTCAAGGATACATTCACCATCCAGAAAATATACCTGCGAATTTAAGAAGATTCTGGGTAAGTATATAACGGAAAACAAACTTAACGGATAAAAAAAGGCAGTGAAAATAAACATTCACACGAGGGCAAGTATTTGCAGAGTTTGAGGTCAAATAAAAAATTGGTTACTTGACCTACCGGGAGACTGTTGAGGAGAGCAAGTAGCAATGAGACATGAAAGGAACAAGTAAGGAATTTTTCGAGCAAATTCGGAAGATGTGTGCCAAAATAAATCGAAAAACGAGGTTGATAAGAAGTCAAATGGATCGAATGTGCCATGGAGATGAGGTCACCAATGAAAACAAAACTTTGAAGGCAACCGTTTTCTCCTTCACTACGAATAGAATGCTTCTCGTCTGAAAATAGACTAGTTTTCGTTTCGTGTTTGCATTGTGGGCTCGAATATGTTATCTCAATCCATCCTTGACCCAGCTGCTGTACTGGCGCCAAACATGATTCTATCTGTCGTCAATGGGCAATCAATATACATCATCATATACAAATGTATGAATGTTTTCTTAAATAGTATGATGATAGTCTCGCGCAAAACTAACTTATAACTCTCATGGTTGTGTTTGGTAACCATATAAGCTAGCTTATAGCTTATTTGATTAGCTTATAAGCTTCCTATATCCAAATAAGCTTGGTTTGGAAGGACGATCATTCTTTAAAAGTCAATCTTATCTAAGCTTCATTGGGTATAACCTAGCTTATCAGCTAATTTTACCAAATACTTTTATCATATAAGCTGACCTTTCAGCCATAAATCATAAGCTATCAGCTATAAGCTCGAAATTCACTTATCAGCTGGGTTTTACCAAACATAGCCATAGTCAACTTACTGCAGATTAAATGTGCATGCTTATATGATGATATTAATACTATATAGGTCGTTAAATTACTTACCTCCGTACAAAGATGGCAATCGATTTGATTTGTCGGATACCGAACATTACCATAGTAGCCGCATTTTTTAAGTTTCACAACATCCTTGGCATCCAAACAGTAAATAATACTCTTTGTTTCTTCGTGGGCCCCACCACAAATCACGGGTGCAAATGCAACAAGTTCGCTCGGACAAATCGCCGTCTGATTCATTTCCAACTCAAGGTGAATGCTCACTCCACTCAAAAAGCGAGGAACACAATAACCTCTTCTCACATTTGATATCCCGCTATAATAATACGAACTCGAACGAGCTTTTTGGGTCAATAAAATAATAGTCTGCTTCCATTCTTGAGGGGTATGAATACGGATGTCATCCACAGAGTATATGACGTCATAAGGCGAAAGATAACCGGATAATGGTGATGTTGAAGGCACGTCGAGAACCTACGGAGGAGTGGAAAGCAGTTTTTAGTTTTAAAAATGCCTTTGCAAAAAATAACAAAATCATTTCGTTGGGAAAATTGATTGGGTTTAGAGTTTAGACCATTGGGTTTCGACCATGCACGTAAAACGGGCTTAAGATGAAAGGAAGAAGCAACAGTGCCAAGTTGCAAACTGCGCAAAACTGCACAATTATCACAAGTTACTCTACTTAGTCTCAGTATCAGGCTTTCATCTACCAATTAAAAATATCATATATGTATATACACATACATATATATATGCATTGCGTGTACTTACAGCAGCATTGTGCCAAATACCAGCAGAATAAATACGAAGAGAAGCCAATCGAGGCAATGACTGCAGTGATGCATGGTTGAAGGCCACTAAAGCACCTGGAAATAACACAGCCCAAAAGACGGCGATATACTCCAAAGGGACTCCCTCACTGCAGGCATCAATTTTTTTGTGCTCTATCTTATAATAATGTTTTACATGGATAGAAACTGCCGATAGATGGAAATTATTATATCTGGAGAACGAAAGCATCATGCATTTTTGGGACAACTCATGTAACTCTCTCTCTCTCTCTCTCTCTCTCTCTCAATGACTAATATGCATTTCCCATTTTCAAAATTCACAATGTCACCATCAATATGCTTTGGAGGAAGTCTATTAACTCCGGTCAAAGACTGCTCCTTCATAAGCAATTCAAGGATCAACCATTAACACAGCATTTAAACATCTTTCAGATTTCTTTAAGAAGAAAAAAAAAATATTTTCTTCAAATGTTGAAAGGGTGGCAAATGCAAAGGGATAGTTGTAAAAAGAACGAGATAAGTACAAAAAATATAATAGCCACTAGCGAGCTTCAGAAGGAAAGGGGAGAATCTTAACCTGGCTGCTGCAAGTGCGTGGCCGAATTCATGCACAATTACGCATATTACGGAAGATACAATCAAGTATCCCATACTGGGAAGTGAGATGTTTAATCCAGCAATCTGCACAAGAGTAGGAATAAGATTGCATACGCATCAAGAAAGTCCAAGAAAAATCTAACCCCTCTAATAACCAAATTTCAAAAGCAATAAAATACGAAACAATGACAGGATATTAGTAAAGTATTTTTGTATTTTACTAATCTCATAAGTAGGGTGAGGTAGAACATTTCTCCCAGCTACTCATATACAGATCAAGCGTCAGGCGATTCGCCCGGCGATGCTATACGGTGCTGAATGTTGGCCTACAAAGAGGCAACATGTCCAACAACTAAGTGTAGCAGAGATGCGTATGTTGCGTTGGTTCTGCGGGCACACAAGAAGGGATAGAATCCGGAATGAGAATATTCGAGATAGGGTCGGGGTGGCCCCAATTGAGGAGAAATTGGTTCAACATCGGCTGAGGTGGTTCGGACATGTCCAACGGAGGCCTCCTGATGCACCGGTGCGTAGGGGAGTTCTACAGCGGGTCGAGGATGTTAAGAGAGGTAGAGGTCGGCCTAAACTCACTTGGGAAGAGTCGGTTAAGAGAGACCTTAAAGATTGGAATATCTCCAAGGATTTAGCGGTGGATAGGAGCGCTTGGAGGCTCGCTATCAACGTGCCAGAACCGTGATTTTTGCTCCTTTCTCTCTCTCTCTCTCGTTTTTTTTTTTTTTTTTTTTTTTTTTTTTTTTTTTTTTTTTTTTTTTTTTTTTTTTTTTTTTTTTTTTTTTTTTTTTTTTTTTTTTTTTTTTTTTTTTTTTTTTTTTTTTTTTTTTTTTTTTTTTTTTTTTTTTTTTTTTTTTTTTTTTTTTTTTTTTTTTTTTTTTTTTTTTTTTTTTTTTTTTTTTTTTTTTTTTTTTTTTTTTTTTTTTTTTTTTTTTTTTTTTTTTTTTTTTTTTTTTTTTTTTTTTTTTTTTTTTTTTTTTTTTTTTTTTTTTTTTTTTTTTTTTTTTTTTTTTTTTTTTTTTTTTTTTTTTTTTTTTTTTTTTTTTTTTTTTTTTTTTTTTTTTTTTTTTTTTTGTGTTTTGTTCGAGTCTTTTGTGTTTCTCTTGAGTTTCATCTCTAGCCTACCCCGACTTGCTTGGGACTAAAGGCTATGTTGTTGTTGTTGTTGTTGTTGTACTCATATACAGATCAAGAAACATCACTATCGACAATTACAACTAAAAAAGTGGAAGATAGGTTGCATACTCAACACCATACAAGGTATCATATAATACTGGGCTAAATTGCATTTTTAGTCATGTTGGTTTAACGCCATAGCAATATTAGTCCCAAGATTCTAACATTTCATATTTTGCTGCAATTTCAGTAATTTGAGGATTGAAATTGCAACAAATTCCCAATTTATATCTTTGGGTTGGATTTTATTAGCAATTTAAGTCCTGTAATTTAAAGTTTTATTGCAATTTTAGTTATATAATTTAAAATTTTGTTGCAATTTCAGTCCTCAAAGGACTGAAATTACAGCAAAATAGTATATCACAGACCAAAAGACAAAAAGTTGGAACCTTGAGACTAAAATTGCTATGGCTTTAAACTAATAGGACTAAAAATGCATTTTTTCCTATAATACTGCATAGGCCTTGATGAAATATTCAAAACGTTAAAGCCAAAACCACAGCATCACATTAAATGCTTAAATTAAGAGACTGGGCTTTGGATACACGGGTATTATTGGCAAGCAAAAGAAATATTCCAACATGTGCACATGTGATAGAACAATTGGCAAAGGAAGGTTGAGACAGAATCTTCAATACTGACCAAAGAGGAAAGTCCCAGCAATGACAATGAGTCACCTAGGGAGTTATTCCCTGTATACACAAATGCTGCCCGGACAAATTCACAAACCATAATCTGAAAACACAGGACAAGTAAACCAATGTCAATAAAGATGCACTTTTGTAAGAAATCGGCATGACTCTAGCAGGCAATGGAACAAGGTCACATGCACCAAAAACTGTATGGAGGAGACTCTTATACAAACGTCAAGAATACCAGAAAAAAAGAAAAGGAAAAAAGAAAATACAAATATTGACCAAGAAATGGTATATATAAAAGCAGTGCAATCAATCACAGTGTCACTTTGAATATGCAATAAACTACCTACTACTGTGACTCCAAAGAGTGCAGCCAAACTAAAACCAATTCCCATGGAAAACCATACTCTCAAGGACCTGCAGCACAATCCAACAGAAAGACTATCATACAAGACACACACACACACACACATATAATACATATATATATATATATATATATATATATATATAAAGAGCAGAAAAGGCACAACCTGGAGTGTCTGCGACCGAAACGAAATAAGGGTTCGTTGAAAGTCGAAAACTTGAAATCACAATACCTAGGATCATGCAATCATTATATTGATCTATAACCAAATAGATGGATTTTGAAAATCTGTTGCGTAAAATGAAAAGCAATGGCAGTATCATTTACCAGCAAGACACGGTGTTAAAGAGTTGACGTGTGGTGCGCATAGGGAGAAGCGTTTGGTCGCTCCACCGCCTTCCCCTTATCCGGTTAACCATCTTTGGATATTAACGCCACCTCTCCCAACTATTCCTTCTTCCTTAAACAGGTCTACAAAAAATTGAGAAGTAAAACTTAAAAAGTCATCTTTTGTTTTTTTCTTTGTGATTTCAGTGAGAAACATAATTTCTAATGTACATAACCTAATTTTTGTTTGTTACATTGGAAAATGTTTATGATTCTATGTATCTTTTGTGTTTGCTTTCTATTGGACAAGGCTACAATGGTAAACCTTAAAAAACGTGCATATTTAACAGGTGTTATCCCGGTTTTAGCAGTTGACGAACTCATTCTTGCCCGGTGTCATTGATACAAGCACAAAGCAGATAACACACACACACCAAAAAAAAGGCCACAGTTTCTAGTGACAAATCCAAATGTAAAACCTTTAAAAAACTGCTGTTGATGCAGACCATCAGGAGAAGGTAAAGACTCCAAGATCCTACAATGATTATACTGAGCAGACCCTTTTAGTTCTACATATGGCTGAATATCGTCCATCATTTTACAGACATTAGTTCCCGCACTATAGCTTCAAGTACTGATTGTATTTACTCATCTCTTCTATCTCTATCTATAAGTCCGTTGTCTTATCTGTAAGTCCATAAATTCCGATATTAACTACTGAAAATAGTTATCACTGCAATGGCCACAGCATAATGTTAACATTTAAATATTTACACTTTAATTCGATTAGATGGATACTTTGTATAGACTAGCATCCAATCTGATCAAAACCCTCCAACTCCAGAAGAACCTTAATCAGGAAATTGTATTAAAATTGCATCTTCAATTCTATATACCAAACTAAAGCAACCTTGATCGAGAACAAGAGCAAATTAATATCGGCTATGACCCACAAACACATTAAAGTAGAAAATAAAAGGAACGAATTCTGTTTTTTCTCAAGCGCTGATTTCAAAGGCAAACATGAAAATACTAATTCGAAAAAGACGAGAATAGGAAGGTAAAAAGAAATACACTTACACGGCGATTTCAAAATTGCGCTTCCGTTTCAACACCTCACTTTCTCTTTCTATTCATCTCAAAATATTGAGCTCTTTATGCTGCCAATTCTGGTTCCTGAAGAGTTGAGAGTAGAAGCTTGGCCGAGTTATCAAATATTTCGGGGAAAAAAAACCAGTTTTTAGTAAAGTTCTCACACTGGAGAATTGCTGTGGAGCCAAACTCAGTCAATGGTTGACTCTTTTATGGAGCCAACCACCAATGTTGGCATGTAGGCCATGTAGAGTTAATTATTTTTTCACGGCCTACGTGGCTTGTTGGCTTCATAAAGGAGCCAACTATTGGTTCCACTCCTCGGAGTGAATGAGAGTGTATTTATTTGGGTATTTTGGATTTTGAAAAAAAAAATTGAAACTTTTTGAGAATTTTACTAAGATTTAGAGGATGCTTAGATACAAATTTATCAAAAAAAATTCACTTTAACTCAACCCCACTATCCTCAATACTATCAATATAATTAAATATTATCAATAAATCATTATTACACATTACATCAACTTTAATTTACTATTTATCCACTCACATAATTTTAACTAACCATCACTTCACATCATCTCACTCATACTTTTATATCAAATCAACTTTAATTATTTTATTTTAAATATTATTATAATATAAATTCAAAATTTCACTAACAACTAACCGTAAAACCTTTTTTAACATTAACCATACCAAATCAAAAAATCCAATCAAAACCAAAAAGATTTATATTCAAGGATATATGTTGAAGGTGAG